GTCCATTGTATTGACCGTTTCCATTACCATTACCGAATGTATCTTGGTAGTTGTTGTTTTGGTGCTTGTATTTATCATCTTGATGGTTGTACTTGCTGTCTTGGTGAACGTATTGTCCGGAGGCATCTGGATGGTATTGTCCATCGTTGTTTTTGTACTGTCCAGAGTTGTCAGGGCGGTATTGGCCATCGTTGGATGGTCTGTATTGTCCGGCGTTGGTGTTCTCGAATCTCGAGAATTTGCGGAAAGTTTGAGCAGAGCTCACAGCCAAAAGGCAGGCTAAGCAAGCGAAAAGAACCTACAAAATTATATATTTTTATTAAGATCTAATTGATTATTTCTTAACAAGATTACTCACGATGGTCTTCATGGTTGAACACTGAGTTGAAGAATGATATGATGATCAGTCGGATGTCCAACTATTTATACGAAAAAGCGTATAGCTTGAAGGTTTGTTAATACATTTAAATTTGCTCATATATTCAGTAACCCACTCCCAAAGTTGCTCATCATTGGACCATTCCGCATCGAAGATCCTGATTCGCGAATGACATTGCTCAATCACAGCTCATCACACCGAAAAAAATCCATATAAAAAAATCTATATAAGTTACCGTAACACATCTCACAGATGTAGTGCAATAAAAAATATGTTAATTAACTAATTATTAGTTTCTACGATTTAATTTTTAATTAAACATATTTCTTATTTGGAATAAAATATTTCATAACAATTATTGAAGAACAAATCAAACATTTAATCATGAAAAACATTGAAGTAAATAATGTCCTTATTAATCATATAATTCAGATTTAGTGTAATAAAAGTAAATATTAACAATTCATAACTTATAATTTATTAATTTATTCACTTTTATATTTTTTACTAGCAACAACTTAATTATAAATCGAACATATTTCAAATTTGGTTTGCATTGAGTAATGGGTGTTTCGTAACAATTATTGAAGATGTGATCCACTTACACGGTACATGTTATTCATCGTTGAACTAAATACTATTAGTCATGGAAAAGTACCAGTTTTTTTTAAATATACATTATTTTTGCTGGATGACCTTCTGAATTATAACGTTTTTGTTTTAAAAAGATGTAAAAATGAGTAACCTTAAGAAAATGTCAACTTGCATAAGATTGATTTAATGCAAACATTATGTTTATTTATTAAATTTAAATATATTGTTTAACCGCAAAAATAATCCAAAATGTGTTATTTTTAATATGCTCTAATTTAATTGTTATATAATAATTAATTGAATTAAATACTTATTGATTAATAAATTTGCATTTATATATTTGTTCTTAGAAGTCAATACGTAATTACTGTTATTTACATACAATAAGATCAATTGTAAACTTTTTGTTGACTTTTTAATTATGTAATATGTAAATTTTATTAATAACTTAAAACATGCATACATTTGCTACACGTGTTACTGACTTATAATATAGTTATTTTTGGACAAATAAAAACTTACTAATAATCAGTTTCAATGATTCATCTAATTTTTATTTGATATTTTATTAATATTTTTAAATGTTTACGTAATTTTATAGTTTGTTTCAATAAATAAATAAAATATCAATTATAAAAACAAGCAGAAGCAAGTTTAAATCTGCATATTCTTGGTATAAAATTGAGTATTATATAAATATCAATAATATTTAAAATACGTCACATATTGTTAAATATTAAAAATATATTGATTTAACCAATTAGTATCTATTTTGGCATAACATCTAATGGGAATAGTTATATTTCTGAACAATTATTTGTATTTCTAATAATATTAATTTGTACAAACTCAAATTCGAGAAGAATAAATTCATATTTTAAGATATTTAAAATGAAGTATCCAAGCAATCTGGTATATTGGTTACCAGTACAATTGCTGTATATTGAATGAATCATAAAATATCAATGGAGACATTTTATTTGATTGAATAAACATATTTTGGAGTCGGTTATAAAATATGTATAGAAAACAGTTTTTTTTTAAATAATATAAATATTTATTCATCAAAAATATTAAATTTACATATTTTTAGTATATTTTTTTCTATTTAATTTAAATAATAAGTGTGTTTTTTTCCTAATTTTAATAGTTTACAAAGTACCCTGGGCTCTTTGGTATTCCAAAGCCCTGACGATGAGCTCTGGGACTGGTGGTGGAGTTGGCAAATGTTGAGCCTCTGGTAAAAATCCGTTCTCATCAGCGGTGTATTTGACGGTGTATTCAACAGCGTCTGGTCCGGTGTAGGTGAAGAAACCGTTGGCGCGCATACCCTCAGCATCGGTTCCTACATTAGCCAATTTTCCTTGTTCTTCGGCGAGGATTCCGTTTTCGGTTTCGTACCTAAGCAATAGTCAATTCAATTTATTGATATATCTTTTTGAGATTTGATTGGTGATTTGTTACTTACAAGTAGTGGTAACCATCTACATCAACATTCTTGATGTCACGGATGATGGCGTAGTTCCTGTTCTCGTATTTACCAGCAGCGGATCCGTGGATACCGTTACCATGTCCAAAGTTGTTTCCACCGTTAACGAAGTGTCCTCCTTGGTTACCAGATTGTCCTTGGTTTCCTCCGTGTTGTCCACCATGTTGTCCTCCGTGTTGTCCATGGTATTGACCGTTTCCATTACCGTTTCCGTACTTGTTGAATGTATCTTGGTAGTTGTTGTTTTGGTGCTTGTATTTATCATCTTGATGGTTGTACTTGTTGTCTTGGTGAACGTATTGTCCAGAGGCATCTGGGTGGTATTGTCCATCGTTGTTCTTGTACTGTCCGGAGTTGTCTGGGCGGTATTGGCCATCGTTGGATGGACTGTATTGTCCGGCGTTGGTGTTCTCGAATCTCGAGAATTTGCGGAAAGTTTGGGCATGGCATACAGCCAAAAGGCCAACCAAAGCAACGAATAATGCCTATAAAAAATACTTTAATTATCTACCCATTTTGTGGTAATCCATCTTTTACTCACGGTGGTCTTCATTGTATAACACTTGATTGTGGAGTGATGTGCTGTCCACTACGAAACCCTAGTATTTATACAAAATAGATATACGCATTTAAATGTGCTCAATTATTCAATAGCCCACTCCCAAAGTTGTTGAACTATACTCGAAGAAGATTCTACTCGCGAATCAGATTGCTAAATCAAAGCATCAAAAAAAAAAATATGCATAAAAAAGGAATGTTATACTAAGAAATTCTAGATTTATAGCGCTCTTAAAAAGAGACTCATTAAGTATTGATCAAGATATACAAACAAAACTTATTTATTTGTTTAATTTTATATAATTAACTTACTAGTAAACAATATTTACTTTAATTTTTCATTAATAGAAATTAAATTAATTTATTTATGATATTCATAATATAAGATAACATATCTCTTTGTGTATAATAGTTGCTTAAGCATTTAATCTTACATAATTTTAAACTTATTTACATAAAATATGATGCTTTTTAGAATATTATAGAATAAATCAGTAACTATTTTTTTAAGGGATGGAACTTTTTTTGGTAGAAAACTTTTGCATCTTAGCATACGACCTGATGGATGACCTTCTTTACATAAAAAAAAACAACAAATTTGCTAGTGTTGAAGAGGGGAAGGTCAAAATGAGACATTTATGTGAGAAGGTGAGCTAATTAATGTTTCGTAGGACGTTATATATAAGGAATAAATAATTATCTGAATGGGGTATAAAAATATAAAACATGCATATTAAATTTTTCAAATATTTGAAATGTTATGAATCAAGAAAATACAAAATTTAACTGATTTATAACTATAAATTTCAATAATTGGAATTTAATATTTTATACATTTTTTTGGACTAAATTAGAAACCAAATGGCCAGCGACCAAAGTATTATGGACAATAAACTAATAGTTATTAATAACATATATAATCTAGATTTGAATAACCACACATTATATAAAACACCAATTTTAATTTGTAACCGCTGAAAGGATTTTTAAATATAATTATTTGTAGATATACATACAAAAGGCTATTGAAAGCAGTCTTTCCGCGCTAAAGAGTTCTATTTTATCAAATTTTAATTGAAATTATAATTTATTGCAATTAAATTAGATATGTGTAGTTTATTCGAAATTTTGAATATCTTTTTGGTATATTCAACACCAAATTGGTTAAAAATTGGTAAAAAATCAAAATTTTATTTTAAAATGTTACTTTTATTTCAGTGTACTTGACAAATGAGTATATAAAACAATGGGTACAGTTTATTAGCCGTTACTATTATTAGTAGACTTAGTTATATTAGTTAGATTTTACAGTTAAATTTATGTACGTTATTCGTAGTAGTTATTAGAAGATATTTATTAAAGGAAATATTTAAATATTTAAAAATGTAATATTTATGGAAAGTTTATTTTTGAATAAAAAGTAAAATTACTAATTTTGTATTTATTATAATTTAAATAGCCTCTCTCTCAGTCAATTCAGGAAAGTTATAATTTTAAAAAGTTCCTTGAGCTCTTTGGTATTCCAAAGCCCTGGCGATGAGTTCTGGGACTGGAGCTGCAGTTGGCAAATGTGCAGCTTCTGGCAAGAAACCGTTCTCGTCAGCGGTGTATTTGACGGTGTATTCAACAGCGTCTGGTCCGGTGTACGTGAAGAAACCGTTGGCGCGCATACCCTCAGCATCGGTTCCTAAATTAGCCAATTTTCCTTGTTCTTCGGCGAGGATTCCGTTTTCGGTTTCGTACCTAAACAAAAGTCAATTCAATTTATTAATATATCTTTTTGACATTTGAGTGGTAATTTGTTACTTACAAGTAGTGGTAACCATCTACATCGACATTCTTGTTGTCACGGATGATGGCGTAGTTCCTGTTCTCGTATTTACCAGCAGCGGATCCGTGGATGCCGTTACCGTGTCCGAAGTTGTTTCCACCGTTAACAAAGTGTCCTCCTTGGTTACCAGATTGTCCTTGGTTTCCTCCGTGTTGTCCACCATGTTGTCCTCCGTGTTGTCCATTGTATTGACCGTTTCCATTACCGTTTCCGTACTTGTCGAATGTATCTTGGTAGTTGTTGTTTTGGTGCTTGTACTTATCATCTTGATGGTTGTACTTGTTGTCTTGGTGAACGTATTGTCCGGAAGTATCTGGGTGGTATTGTCCATCATTGTTTTTGTACTGTCCGGAGTTGTCTGGGCGGTATTGACCATCGTTGGATGGATTGTATTGCCCGGCGTTGGTATTCTCGAATCTCGAGAATTTGCGGGAACTTTGAGCAGAGCTCACAGCCAAAAGGCAGCCCAAGAAAGCTAAAACAAACTATAAGATATTTATGTAATAATTATTGTTTAATTACAATTAAATATAATACTAACTGTGGTCTTCATAGTGGAACGTTCTGTTGCAGAATGCTATGATGTTATCAAATGCATCAGGTTATTTATACTGCATTTTATTATTCATAATTCCAAATTTGGTGATATTTTCGATAAACTATTCTAAAAATTATTCATGATCTATTCAAAGTTGACGATCCTGCAACCATTGCCTCAACGTTACATAAAAACAACTTAATTTAAATTAAATGTCATTCGAATTCATTAATGGAATACCAAAAAAAAATGAAATTGCTCAATATTGACAGATTATATTGTTTTTCAGTAATTTTATTAATTAAATTTTAGTATCATCATCTTTTCTACCGGAATTAATATGTAATATACACTAATAATTAAAGGTTTAATGTTACTTGAGTTTAAATATTATAGCTGTTTAAAAACTATTATGTAATAATTTCTAATTTTTTATTAGTTAGTTTGTATTTAATATTTCAAATTTTATGCAAATTATAAGTGGTTATAAATTAGTTTATTAAATTTTGTAATCGTAACTTTAAGTAACTTTATTGCAACAGACGAAAAAAATAAACAATTTTCTTCATAACAATAGAATTATTCTAAATAAATTTTGTAGGATGAAAATTATGAAACAATTAATAAATTGTATTGTGAAATACATACATAAATAAAGTTGAAAAAATATAAATCTAATTTTAAATAAATCATAGAGATTATTATAATTTGATGAACAATAATATAGAATTACTGAATTCGCTATTTTATATTGTAACTATCATTTAAATATTATATTAATTTATATTATGTTTCTAGCAACCTTTATATTTAAATATTTTGTTTATATTCATTCCTTGCTTATTTGAAACCATTTGATAAAAACTATATTCAGTATATTAATTTGTTCCACATGAAAAATATTTTTTTTTATGTCGTATAATTTTATTCACAATCTGTTCATTGCGTAAATTTAAGATTGCGGTTGACAATAGATCGATAATCTTTCCCGATGGATACTAATAAATCTATATACAAAATTGCAACGCCAGTTTGTGGTTTCACTGTTGTCGAGTAGACCAATAGCCAGAACATTGATATGTGACTCCAGTCTATCTTGGTATCTACTACTAAATGTTGGTATTGTATCTAAAGAAGTTTTCAATAATAGCAGTTCATATAATTAAATTAAAATGACTTATTTTTTTATATGGTTGGATTAAAATTTTGTATATTTGTTTTCAGATATTAGTTTTTAAAACATTTTTTAGTAGTTAGATAATTGTATCTTAAATAATTTTCAGTCTTATATATTTGTTAGATTTACGTAACTTTTATTTTTGTTAATACTAAATATAATAATTAAATACAAATACAAAACTACATTTTTTTTATAAAATAATATGTATTTATTTATGTATTTTATAAAGTTCCATGAGCTGTTTGGTAACTAACCATCAGGATAAGTTTTGGAACTGAAGCTGCAGTTAATTACGGATAATTTGTACTATATTTTTTATGAATCTGAGTATATAAAATCATGGGTACAAATGATTACCCATTATTAATATTATTATTAGTAGAATAGATACATAATCATTTATATTCACTCAAGTAATGGTTAGAATTTATAATAAAATGTATGTACATTATTCTTCGCAGTTTTTCAGAAGATATTCATTAAAGGAAATACTAGATGGAGTGCCAGGTAATATTTATAAAGAAACAAGATTATTTCGTTGTCAAAATTATGGAAAATTTACTTTTGAATAAAAAAGTAAAACTACTAATTTTGTTTTTATTATAATTTAAATAGCCTCTCTCTCAGTCAATACAGATAAGTTATAATTTACAAAGTGCCTTGAGCCCTTTGGTATTCCAAAGCCCTGGCGATGAGTTCTGGGACTGGAGCTGCAGTTGGCAAATGTTCAGCTTCTGGCAAGAATCCGTTCTCATCAGCGGTGTACTTGACGGTGTATTCAACAGCGTCTGATCCGGTGTAGGTGAAGAATCCGTGGGCGCGCATACCCTCATCATCAGTACCAACGTTGGCCAATTTTCCTTGTTCTTCGGCGAGGATACCATTTTCGGTTTCGTATCTAATTGATAAATAATTAAATATTTTATAATTATCTTTACTTTTGATCCATGATGTGATACTTACAAGTAGTGGTAACCATCTACTTCGACTTTCTTGGTATCACGGATGATGGCGTAGTTCCTGTTATCGTATTTGCCAGCAGCAGATCCATGGAAATCGTTTCCTTGTCCGTGTTTGTTTCCATCATTGTTGGCAAAGTGTCCTCCGTGGTTACCACTGAATTGTCCACCTTGGTTTCCTCCTTGATTACCTCCGTGTTGTCCAGAGTACTGACCGTTTCCATTTCCGTTTCCGTATTTATCAAATTTATCTTGATAGTTGTTGCTTTGGTGCTTGTACTTATCATCCTGATGTTCGTATTTGTTGTCTTGGTGAACGTATTGTCCGGAGTTATCAGGGTGGTATTGTCCATCACTGTTTCTGTATTGTCCAGAGTTGTCAGGACGGTATTGACCATCGTTAGAAGAGCTGTATTGTCCGACGTTGGTGTTCTCAAATCTCGAGAATTTACGGAAACTTTGAGCAGAGCTCACAGCCAAAAGGCAGCCCAAGAAAGCTAAAGCAAACTATAAAATATTTGTATAATTATTACTGTTAATTACAATTAAGTATAATACTAACTGTGGTCTTCATAGTTGAACGTTCTCGTTTAGAATGATCTGATGTTATCAAATCTGGATATTTATACTATATATTTAACATTTACAATTCCGAATTCGGTGATATTTACGCTAACCCATTCCCATTCCCATCCAACTCGTAGACAGAAAAAGCATAATTTAAACTACATATGTCACTCAAATTAATGTAAATTCAAAGCGAATTAAAATGCAACATTTTTTTTAATATTATATAAAATATTTCTGTAAAAGAATGAATGATTTATATTCAACTCTTATTTTATGTACAGATTGCAACAAGTTTAATTACAAATAATTGCATATTCCATTATATTAATTAATTGTTTAATGAGAACTTTGATATTTGACCTTTCGTAATACACTGTGTGTTGTCTCATTGATGACGAATTAATAACCTTAATAAAATATTAATATTAAAGATATGCATAATGGAATGCAGCAAATGTAATTTAAATTTTGATGGAGATTCGAATCGAAAATTTTTAAAGGTTTTTATTTTATATGCAAATTTATTTATATATTATACAAAATAACTTCGATTACTAAATTATTAGACAATAGGATGTAAGATCATATTTCAATATGATTTTTTAAAAAAATGTACAAAATAATTTAACGGAATATTAAGTTTCAATTAATTCTACATAATTTTATCTACTGTTGTATACGAAATTTTGTGTAATAATGTTATATCTAGCTTTGTGGTCCAAAATTAAGCAATAAAAATTCCTAAATAAATTAAATAATATTATTTAATTTATTCAAATCATTATTTTTTTTTGATATATGAAAAACAAATACATAAAGAAATTTCTATTCACCGCAATATTTCCGCAAAAAAAAGTTTTTTTTTTCTTTTTCGATTAATTCTACATATTTATAAGTTTTCGGGCTGCAAATCAATTAGTTTTACTTTTCTTATTATGTTATTATTATTTTATAAATTTTCTATTAAAAAATCAAGGGATTTTATGCTATTATTATTATATATTATATATTATTTCGTTAAAAACTGTTTTATTATCAAAATATAATAAACATTAACAATTATTGTGATAGTGGTATTTATTTATAATCATTCTTATTTATATAACGGAAAAAAAATCTAAATATAAATAAATAATAAAATGGAAATTAGAAACCAAAATAATTGAAAATAAAATAATAATTATATAAACTTAAAGAACTGGTAGATACCTCATTTTCAATAATATTAAAAAAAAATATAAATTAAAAAACCTGTTCGTATCCGAACGTATCCATATCCTTTCGTATCCTCACCAAAATACGACATCCTAATAATCCTCTACACAATCCTCCTAATGATCTCCTTTACTCCAAAACCAAAATAGTCCCTTTCCTCGACCGATACCTTTCCCTATCCTTGAAATTTTAATCCAAACAGTGCAACATAGACTCACTCTCTAAATTCTGTGCACCTCGAAACCAAAATATCCTTCCCAAATTTAAATATCCTACATTATCCCTATTCCAATACCCTCTAATGTCCCTCGATTGATACACACTTGTTCCTATTCCGCTGTTTTTTTCCCTTATTTTTCTGTTTTTCATTTGTATATTATTATTGTAATATTGTTTTTACTCCACAATTAAATTTATGTTCCCGAACGGAAAAACCTCGGTTGATAGCCCTTTGGCCAGCCTATTAATATTTTTTATTTTATGTTAGAGTTTATTTATTTTGAGAGTTGCTATAATTTTTATTATATTTATTCATTTATAGAATGTACTTTTTATTTGTTTTGTATTGATGTCTGGCCAATAAATTATTATCATTATTAATTATTTGATTTCTTTAGAAATTAGATCAACTTTCTGTAAATATAATGAAATTATCTGATAACATTTTGATTAATTGACTATAGCCACATAACATTAAAGCAATAACCAATGTATTTTTATTATAATAACATATTCGATGAATAAACTATAAAACATATGACATTTTGAATTGGAAATTTTAAAACTATTTCTTAAAAAAAAACAAGAATTTATTAATATTGGATAATTTATACTATATTTTTATGAATGATTCAATAATCTGTTATATTCAAATAAGTATATAAAACAATTCAAATACTTTACTCATTAAGTACTTTAATCAATTTTATTCACTGAGATAATACCTAGATTTTACATGGAGCTGGGTAATATTTATAATAAAACAAGATTATTTCGTTGTCAAAATTATGTAAAGTTTACTTTTGAATAGAAGTAATACTACTAATTTTATATTTATTATAATTTAAATAGCCTCTCTTTTCAGTCAATTCAGGTAAGTTTTAATTTACAAAGTGCCATGAGCCCTTTGGTATTCCAAAGCCCTGAGGATGAGTTCTGGGACTGGTGGAGGAGTTGGCAAATGTTGAGCCTCTGGCACGAAACCGTTCTCATCAGCGGTGTACTTGACTGTGTATTCAACAGCGTCTGGTCCAGTGTAGGTGAAGAATCCGTGGGCGCGCATACCCTCATCATCAGTACCAACGTTGGCCAATTTTCCTTGTTCTTCGGCGAGGATTCCGTTTTCGGTTTCGTACCTTTAACAATAGTTAAATTAAGTAAACTTTCCAAGCATTGAGTGATAAATTGTTAACTTACAAGTAGTGGTAACCATCTACATCGACATTCTTGATGTCACGGATGATGGCGTAGTTCCTGTTCTCGTATTTACCAGCAGCGGATCCGTGGATGCCGTTACCATGTTCGAAGTTGTTTCCACCGTTAGCGAAGTGTCCTCCTTGATTACCAGCGTTTTGTCCTCCGTTTTGTCCACCGTGTTGACCTCCGTTTTGTCCACCGTGTTGACCTCCGTGTTGTCCATTGTATTGACCGTTTCCATTACCGTTTCCGTACTTGTTGAATTTATCTTGGTAGTTGTTGTTTTGGTGCTTGTATTTATCATCTAAATGGTTGTACTTGTTGTCTTGATGAACGTATTGTCCGGTGCTATCTGGGTGGTATTGTCCATCGTTGTTCTTGTACTGTCCGGAGTTGTCTGGGCGGTATTGACCATCGTTGGATGGACGGTATTGTCCGACATTCGAGACGAACTTGTTAACCCTGTGGAAGGATTGAGCTGAGCTCACAGCCAAAAGGCCGGCCAATAAAACGAAAACGACCTGCAAAATTTGCAATTGTTATATATAAAAAAAATAATTATTATTAGTTGTATGATTCACTTACTGCGGTCTTCATGTTAGAACACTGTGTTGAGTTGTGATGTGATCTTCGTTTGCGTATCCTAGTATTTATATGAAAATCCGCGTATATTTTACTGCCTCATTAGTGATGACACTCTATACGTTTTTTTTTATGAATAAAGAGAATTTTTATGAATATTTCTATAATTTACGATATATTCACGAACCCACTCCCAATTTTGTTCACCCTTGAACCTATCCGCACAGAATCTCTACAAGATTTACATCGCCTAACCGTGACATCGACAAACGAGAGACATAATAAATTACCTAAAAAAAATCCATTATACATATAAAACAAAAGTGTCTTGAATAATTTTCCACTAATTTTGATATTTTTCATAATTAATGTATTCTTTATATTCACAAAAGACACATACTTGTTTCATTAAAATTAGACATTAAATCAGAATTCAACATTTAGTTAAATCTATAAAATTAACATTTCTAAAACATCTCTTTACATCAGATTGTTTATAATATGTTTATAAATACTATAATTTTCTTAGATATTAAAACATAAATTTGTTTTTAAAGTGTTATTATACACTGTTTATTTTTGTTTATAGTACTTTTTACTAATGACAATATTATTTAAGAGATAATACGATTGTATCGGCTATTGTTTGTTGTGTTGCGTGAAAGACCTTCGGTTTTTGTATCTAAAAGTAAAATAATATTATGGGAATTTAAAAAAATTAGCGAAATGTCAACTTACATCAGAATAATTTTAATGTAGCAATAAATACCGAATCTAGACGAGTCATCAAAAATTTAAATATTTTACTACTTTTATACTACAATATTATGTCTGTAGTATAACAAATTAATATTTAATATTCGGTTTAAACTAAATATTAATTATGCAAACTATTTTTAGTTAATTTTCAAGTTTACTGTTAATAAAATCTGTTTCAATAACAACCCAATGCCACACGGTGACATTTTAATTTAATAGAATTGAATTATCATTATGTTAGGAAAATACGTGTATTTCAGGAAGTAGATACAGAGAAAATGTTAATTCTTCAATTTCTCCACTTTATTTAACACGTGTTTTATATGATTATTCATATACAATCTTTAATAGAATGTATGTTTCCCATCCAACTTTAGTGCTTGAACACTTACATATGCATTTAAAAATTGATGTAAACATAATACATTTTTTACACCAGTCTAGTTAATCATTGTCCATATATAGTTTTATTTTCTATATTTTGTAAAATAATAATGCAATATTTCTAAATTTAATAAACGTTTTAAATACATAAACAAATCTAGGGTTGAAAAATGTATGGTCAATAGTACTTTGTTAATTATTTAAAGAAAATGATTATGTTGTTATTATAAGACTGTTTTAAATATTATTCTTATTTAACAAATCTATTTATTAATTTTCATTTTATTTATTATATTATTATATAATCAAAGGCGGCTTTAGGCATGGTCTTTGATCCGGGGCCTTTATATAATAGTTAGTTCTAGGACCCCAAATAGCACTATTTGGTCCATGAACCCTACTGTTAGCCGAGGGCCTCAAAACACTGATAGTCCAGGTCCTCTAAACCAGTGATTCTCAAACTATTTGGTACGCGATCCCCTTTTGGACATACAATGTTTCTGCGTTCCCCGAAGAATGATACTCCAGGATATCAACCAGGATTAATCAGTCATTAATTTTTTGCGACTTCCCTGGGGTTCGCAACCCACACTTTGAGAACCACTGCTCTAAATAATGTTAGTTGAGGACTCCCAAACAGCAGTGCCTCTTAAATTAAACGTTATGATTTTCTTAGTAAGATCTTAAAGGGCCTCCAAATTAGGTTGCGCCAAGGGCCTCACAAATTCAGGATGCGCTACTACCAAACAGTGTTAACCCTGGACCCCCAAAATAAACTTCTTAGTAAATTAAATTGTAATAAGATATATTTAATTTTCCTTGTTTTAAAAATCGGATTTTAATTAATATACAGTTAATATAGTTACATAATGTACTATCACAATGAGTTTTATTTATTTTATTTTCCATATTTGGTAGAAATAATTAATGTAAAAGTAATTGTGGCCAATTTGATTTTATAATTTTCTATCTTTTTTAGCCCTAATGAAGTAAATTATAATTTTATTTAACATATTTTCATCTAGTGTTGATCATCTTAAGGTGAGCGTCTTTATATCGTAGTAACCTTTTGATAATCGGAATATTTATATATATGAAACACTCCCACTTTAATATTTAAATAATTTATAGCTATTTGATGCAGGATTTGCATTCTTTTAACATTTATAATTTATTTATCTACACCTTGGGCTAATTAAAAATACTATAACATGGATAATTAAAAAAAACATTATTTATTTTACGCAAAATACCATCGACATGAATTAAACTTTACGTAATCTAGCTTTAGTTTATTTAAAGATAGCCTTCCCCGACTTAATTTTATTAAATTAATGAAATGATTTTAAAAATGGATAAAAATGAATACAAAGTTTACGTTTTAAATGTAATTGAGATTTAATAATGGAAATTGCTGAAGGTATAAAAATCCAAAGTATTTTGCAACTAAATGCAAAGTAACTCGCTTTAAATAATTACAATATTTTACCTTTACAAATGTAATTTGCAGGCAATTTTGAAATTGCTCATAATAAGTATAATTACGGAATCCGCGTTTCAAGGAAACTCATTTTTTTGTGACACATAAAGATTATTCAATAAAACATTTTCTTATTTTCCAGGTAAGAAATACGTATAAACATTTATATGTTAATTCTTACTCAATTTGTAATTAGGAATGAGGCGGAACTGTTTAAAACACTTTCGAAAAAATTTCTCTAACAAGTAAAAATATTAATAGTTTTAATTGTAATTAATTTGTATGGGGAAGTTATAATATTTGATTAATGTTATAATTGTTGATTTTTTTTTATAGAAAACATGTATTAAAATATAAAGATTTTCTTTATTCAACCTTCATATCAATTGCATACAAAAAGCACTGAACAGAATATACATACAAGTATTTATAAATATAAGTTACAGTAATGAAAAATACATGAAAAATAAGTAAAATATATAAAAAAAAAGAGTATAGAACACATAGAAGTAGCGACAGAATCTTTGCGGTGTATATTCGTGTATCAAACAGGTCCAGCCATCTTTATTATTCATTATATATATAAAACATAAAAATTATAACATCAATACACATATATATAAAATTCATATGTACAGAATTAAGGTAAATCGATAGAATCGACGAACAAAATATTTATCACGTGGCGTTTCGTATCAAATAACATTTTTCTTAGGGGGATTTACAAGGTAACTAGATGATTAGAATCTTCTGTTTCCTGGCCTTGGGCCATCCTCGGCCGATGGGTGCGCCGCGATCCAAGCCAAAGCCTTCTGGATGGCAGCTGGAATCTCTGGAGCTACGGGCAAATGAGCACCTTGTGGTTGGAAGCCGTTCTCGTCGGCGGTGTATTGGAGGCTGATCGGGGTTCCATCTGGGGAGGTGTAGGAGAATGATCCTTGAGCGGCAGTTCCTGCTTCATTTCCAACAGCCTTCTGGGCTCCTTGTTCCTGGGCCGCAATTCCGTTGGCAGTTTCGTAACTTGAATCAAAGGAATATTATTTTCTTATAAAACAACAAAACAGATATTTTTTAATTTATAAAATGGTGCATGCTTTGTTACCTTGAATCCTCATACATTTCATGCATTTATGTTTTTATATATTAATTTGTGTTGCGTAGATTAAATTAATACATTTACTATATTGTATGTGCAAGTATTTACAAGAAACAGTGTGCATAGTTAATAGATTGATATAGAGATCGAAGTTAAAATAATAGAAAAAAAATACTATTTACATAGTTATATGTCAGTGAGTTAATGAAGATAGAAAGCATTATTTCTCAAGTGAATTATATACAATACATTACTTATATTATTGTTAATTTTTGTGCATTATATAGTGTATTTACAGATTTGTGAAATTAATTAATGTTATTTCAATAAACCGTGTATATAAGTTGCATTTTTTATTTTTTTAAATTATGATTAAATTATTAATATTTATTTACAAACTTTTATTTCTTCGGACTATTAACAAAAAATTTTCTGCTAAATGTTAAGACTTTTACTAGTGCCATTTTGCCATACTTTTTCTTATTAATATTATATAATATATTTCTTTGATTGTTAAGGAAATGTTAGTAGTTTCAACATTTAATTAATAAGAATATTTTAGAAAGAGTTGTAATTTGCGTATGATGGTGATAACATTATTATTGTAAAACGAAGAATACTAATAAATGTATAGTTGGAATTTTCAGTGTTTTGTTTAAGAAAATGTAAGTAATTTTATAATTTAAAATAAAGAAAATTTATATAATTAATACTAGTAGCATCTATAGTTTTTTTTTAAAGAAAATGCAAGTAAATGCATAGAAACTATATTATTGGAAAACAAATTGGAAATAGTTGTATAATTTAGATTGTCAAATATAAATAATAATAAAGTATATATTTACTTCCATTGGTAAGAGCCATCAGGGTTGAGGGTAGAATCCTGCCTGACAATGGCAATTTGCTGTCCAGGTTGTTGGGCTGGAATAGGACGGTATTGTGCCAAAGCACAACCGAACACGGCCAAAAGAACAATCTGCAGAGATGTAAGATAATTTAATAAATTGCACCCCAATCAGGAAAATTTTAATAAACTTTACTAAATTATTCAATAAAGAAACCTTGCTAAGTTTTCCATAATTTGATTCTTTAAAGGTTTCAACTAATTGATTATAAACGCCATCACTTACCATGGAGTTCATGTTGAGTGTTTGAAGAGAAATGTAAGTCACTGCAAGACTGATGATGGACCAGCATACGAACAAGATATTTATATGCATCCATTGAAATTTCCCACCCAATATCATCTTCAATTCGCTCACCGAGTTTAATACCACCAATGTATTATTTAACGCATTTTTACCGTCATCCTCCTCTCTCTTTCTCTCTCATCATTACAATTTCCATCAGTTACCAATCCTCAAATTCTTCTATTATTTTTAATTTCTATTTTCGGCAACTGCTAATCATTCTACAAATCTTTTTGACACACCTCAAAAGAAACTTTATATGCAAAACAAACATTAACACACACATTTTAGGGAAACTGCTAACCCTAAATCATAAATTAATCCATTAGTTTATTAACTAAGCCTAAGGCCAAAACGTATTTTATTATCCATAAACATACGCTACTAAACACAATAAAATTTATTACTAGAAAATAAAAATCAATTGAGAAAATAAATGTAATAAATATTCCAATGCACTTGACAATTATTTTTTTTTTATTTTTATCCCTTTATTTTCCAAATGCCAGTTGAAGAGAATGTGCGGGTTGGTTGGCTTTCGCGTCTGCAATTTCCTCAGTTGCAGATGAAATAAATTATTAAAATTGGAATTGCAAAAGTGGCCGAGCGAAACGAATCATAATTACTAATGGGCAAACATGCATACATACTTACATGCGTGGTACGCGATAATTAGAAGTGTTTGTCACCTCAATTTGTTATTCTCTTGTTTATTTCCTTCATTAATGACAATATAAAAACAATTAGTTGTAAACGCTTAGAAACATCTGCAAATAAACTTGAAAATTTTTCTGATTGTTTTAATTTATCGAAAAATTTGCATTGACATTAAGTGTATGTTAGTGATAAATTATTTAATAACTTCATTATTAAAGGAAATATCTGCATATTTGCATTATTTATACATGTAATTGTTAATTTATTTATTTTTATATGCATTAAGCAATATATTTGTGGTGTTTACACGTAATAGGAAGAATAATATAATAAATATTTTAGCGAAATGTATACATTTTCAAAACTGATTTTCCCTTTACATTAAGACCAATGGCTTAATAACACTTCTGATACAATTATATCTCACATAGTGCGTCTTCGATCAGTGCGGATTCACTATAGCGCGGTTAGAGAACTTTCATTTCGATTTGTATAAAATAATTGAACAAAATCAAAATAAAGTCTACAAAATTAGTACACAAAATTCTATACATACTTTATCATATTTCCTATATATTTGGTTTCTCGATTAGTCCGGCGAGGTATGAAAGAAGCAACAACATTTTTTAAAGAAATATTGAAAATATTCAAATTAATAATTTGATATATTTATTCAATTGTGTGCAAAAAACTTAATATTTCTTAAATTTTCAAGAAATAAGTTAGAATTAAAACATAATTAATATTTTACATGTAAAAATTCTTTCCTGAAAAAATAAAGCTATCAAATTTTATTAAGAAATATATCGATTTGATGAATATCCCCATTTTTTCAATCAATAAAATATTGATTTTCAAAAATAACAAATTGTCATTTTTCTATTTCACATATAAGCATGTCATCGAGTTGCGATTTGATCTTTACCTGGAAACAAAATGCGCAAATCTATTATGTTAAACAGAATTTTTATGTGCATCTTCAGTGTTGGAGTTCTGATCTTTGCAGATGACCCGGAAGTTAAATGCGATTCATCAAATGTTCACGAGATGGCCGATCGGCGAGTTTAGGTTTATCATCAGGATTCCAATACAATCCTTTGGTTACGTAACAATAAATACTTTTTCGTGTACAAGTTAAAATTACGCTAACGAACTGCATGAAGGCGTATGCGCAATTTTCTCGTGCAAGTGGGTAGCCTTTAGACCAGAGGTCGGAAGCCAAAACAATAACTTGGTCTACTAACTATGGAGAAACGCAAAAACTTCACTGCTGTGATTCATTTTATCTGTAGTATCGATTCTAATCTAATTTATTGTTAACCTCTTTTCAATGGAAAATAGTGCATATAAAATCTGTTTGTTCTTACTTCAATAGCCTATTTATTTACATGCAATCAATTTTTATGAATGGAATATTAAATAAGGTTAGGAAAAAGTGTATATTATTACTATAAATTTTAACTTTCATCTATTTAATTACATATAGACATTTTCACAATGAGTACAAAATAATTAGGAAAAAATAATTACAAATATACAGCAATTACAGCAATACCTCGCATAGTCCGTTTTCACTATAGTCCGGTTTGAAAATTTCAATTTTTGAGCAAAATTAAAGTAAGTTCCAAAAAAATTATACATAAATTACTTATTTTTTCCTCTATACAATCAAGCTTATTATTGTATGTATTTAGTTTCTCGTTTAGTTCGGTTTCAAACAGTCTGGGCTATGGACGGAAACGATTACCCGCACTATGCGAGGTATTGTTGAATATGCATTAAATTTATCTAATCAGTGAATATTTAACCAGGTAATTATAAATGGAAATAACCTTTCTATTTCCACGATTTACATAACTAATTATTAAAATATTTAACCCAAATATTTATTTTGAAATATTTGAAGAAATTGCTATTTTATTTAGAAATAAAAACGATATTAATTTTTTTTAGTACTATATTTAATCAATCAATTTAAATATGAATTGGAATTGGAATAGAAATTAATTATATTTTTATTTATGAATAACTCATACTTTTATAATATTAAAATTCTTAAACTTATAATAAGATATTGTCCATAGTTTCGTTTGTGCATTTGAGAAAGAAAGTAAATAACAGTGGATAGAGGTTACAACCTTCTTGGTAAAATAATAAGCGAGAGCCTCAAGTCCTCGTTCACTTAAAAATGCATCTTAACGATCGACATTGCAAACTAATCACATTTATTTGTTTCGTCACAATATACTTATAAGATTCAATTATATAAAATTGATTTCGTAATTTATTGGTCGTTAACAATTGATACATCTCACAAATCAATATCAAATTATATAAGTTTTTCCCCAATGGCATCAATTAATAGTTCGCACGCTAAGAATTAAATCCTTCAATTTATTTCATCAATAAAATTAAACGATACGATAGTTATCATTTGTGATTTTCACCTTTCCGATGATTTCTCGCATTAACCATAAATAATCTTCAATGAATAGCTTACGTAATACACTCGATAAGGACTCGAAATGTTAGAGACCAGTTGACAATGATAAATGATATGTGGGTGATTCCCTATTTTTTTTTATTTTTCAGTGAAAATGAATTGGAGAATTGCAACATCGCATCGATTTCATCATCGATTTATGAAAGGTGGGAGGAATATTTGTAATTAAATGTTTCGGGCACATTCAAGTAATTTTTCTCTTTCTCTCTTATCGTTCTTCGTGTAAATTATTTTATTGAGGATAATACTGTGCATTTGACGAAAATGACGTTAGGTAACCAACGAACGTAAAAGTTGGTATAGGTCAAATTGTTTATGTAAGTGCGGGCGCTTTGATATTCCGACGATCGCTTCACTTCCGAAGAAGTAATGATTGGTGTGGTTGTAAGTGGAAAAGCCCCGACTTGTGTTTTTGATTTGGCGACATGATTTGTAGACCGCACCCCGCGAGATGGGTGGAATCTTGCACCGCGTGCGAATAACTCTACATAATTTATGCCTGAACCGTTCGATTTCGCAATAATTCTATTATGGAATGATCTCACATGAATGCCATTTGAACTTTATGGTTTATTCTCGTTACCGCAAATTGACCGTCAATGAAGAAGAGTCCAATCATTGATAAAACAAAGAAAAATGTTTATTCCTAATTAAAAGAAATTTAAAAATTAAAGTAAATACTGCAAAATTTCTGTGAAAGCAATGTTTCATAATTTTAAGCCAAAACTAAACAAAGACGTTTATTGTCCATATAATTTTAAATGCGTATTGTGCGTTAATTACCGAGCATCTTGTATAAGGTAACTTGTTTAAGAAATAAGGTCATGCGTATCAAAAGTTCGCACGATCTTTTTCGTTAGTAATTGGAAGCCATAAATTTTGATCATAATGAAACAAAATTGACAGCTTTATTTGAAAATATAGCTAATTTCGTGTATAATACGCACAATTTGTAATTATTTTATTCAGTATAAGTGTTACACATCTTTGACAGTTAATGTTAATTTTAGATTATAAATGTCTCATAAAAAGGCGAAATATATATTTGCTTTGAATGAAAATCAGAGTAATTATATAAGATTTTACCGAAGTCATTAATAATTATTTATATAAGAATAATTCAGAATCGTGTGCACATCCTAACATTCATATTCTACCTTACATTTTTTTTGACAATTGTATTATGCCTGTATTATAGGAATATATACTAGATATTTAAAGTCATATTATAATATTTACTATTTCAATTGAAAAAAATAAAGAAAAAAATAGTTTTATTAATGTTTTAATTAAATAATAATACATTTTAAAAAATTGGTACACAAAATTATTATTTTAAACATAATTGATCATTTTTTACCCTTTATCCAGACAAGTTTCTTTTGTGCTCTTTATTTTTATGTAGGTTATTAGCAGAACTGCACTATTCCATTTATTGATTATTTTATAACTTTCAATTTATGAAGTAAATTAAATAATTAGACATATGTTTCCGATAAAATACAATTGTTCATTCTTTCCAATAGAGTAATTTATCACATACTTAGCTTAAGTTCACAAGCAGGAAATCATGATTCATGCCATAAAACACGTTGGGAATTTCAAGAAACACGTCACGAGAAATATTTCCAGACACTTAATCAACAATTGAAGATGCATAAAAAATGCAAGATGCGCTTTCTTTGATCTCATAAAAAATAAGTTATATAAGAAAAGCTGTCTAAAATTATTTATAGAATTAGATTAATTTATTTTATGAATTATTTTAATGCTAATAAAATTAATATTTATTAAACGAATTGTATAAATAAATCTAATATTACAAA